CCCCCCCCCCCCCACCCCTGGCCGCCGGCTTTTGGATTTACTTTAGTCTCCCCTTACATTCAGATTCCTCACTCTCCTCAAACACCTTCAGCACATCCCTGCCTCCCAGCATCTACCCTACATAAATTACATAGCAACAAAGTGCCAACCCTCTGTTTCAGATTTCCTGGAACCAGCTCCCCCACAAGTTACTGTCTCCCATGCGCCAGACATAGGTGGACATGAGAAACTGACCTGCTTCACTACTGGCTTCTACCCAAAGGACATAGACATCTATTGGATGGTCAAAAAGGAGATGCAAAACTGCACCTTCAAATCACCTCTGGTAGCCCTAGCTGATGGAAAGTTCCAGCAGACTTGTGAGCTGCTGATCAGTACAGAAGACTGGAGCACGGTGGATACATACACTTGTATTGTGACCCACAGCTCCCTTACTGGAATCCTGGAAAAGACCTTACGCTCCACTGGTAAGTCACCAAGTGGGATGGGCTCTGTAGGCTTGCCAAGGTCCCTAGAGAATGGAAGTGTCCAATTCCTGTTGCGTCTGATGCCTAGGAAGTTTTTCCTTCTGCCTGCCTTCTCTTCTTTCTTTGCATCCGGTCATCATTCCACTCTGAAGATCTTCCAGTCCAATTCTCTCAGATTTCCTCTTTGCAATATTGATCTCAGTTTAGAGAAAAACATGTTCCCCAATGTATTCATCTATGATTTATAATACCGTATCAATTATCAGGCATCAGTTTTCACTGAGGTGCAAATTCTGTTCCACCTCTAGAGCACCCAAGTGCAAGCCTATTCCACACAGCTTGAGCCCGCCCAAAGAACCATTAAGAGGTCAACATGTATAGCATACCTTTATCTTAGTCTTAAAATAAGGCAGTGAGAAGGAAGAGAGAACCTTTTTTTTTTTGCATTATGAGTTGTTCAAAGACTTGAGCAGGATAGAGCAGGATCACACACTGGCACCCACTAGATGAAATAGGATTTGCCCCAGTGCATATCAGATGATAGTTTTCCATTGACTGTTCTTGTTTATATAAAAGCCATTTTTTTTTATTCATAGGCATCAGCTCAGCTCTCTGTCACCAGGTATCAAACTACAATTATTATGTCAGATCTTGATTGTACTTAAAACCCAGTTCTAAATTCTCAGCTGTCAAGTCTGACATTGGAGCTGGAAAAGTCTTTGGAAAGAAGCGTATATGGCTATAGGCACATTAGATATCCAATATATTGATGGCCTGACAGCAGTGTTAATTGCAGATACAGCTTAAATTATGTCTCTGACCCAATTCCTGTCCATACATGAAAATCTCTAGATCACACTGAGTGGCACGTTGAACTCAAGAGAGAACCAGTTGGAAGGAAAATAAGTATTGAAGCATAAGGAGTAGCACAGCTCAGAAAATCGCACCACTAGTACTCTTGTGAAATCCCCCATGCTTGGTAAATCCTCCCCCTGGAATGGCATTATCTGTGACCACTTTCTTCATGACTGCTTCTGCAGGTTGGCAGATCTCAGCAGCAAACTCCAGCTTAATAGAGCCCCCATCCTTGAGGGAGCTCTTTGTCAATAAGACAGCAGATGTGATATGCAAGACCCAACTTGTCAATGCCAGTATCCAGTGGATGATGAATGAACAACCCATGGACTTAAGGGCAGTGAGGTCAGAGGAGCCAGAGAAACAAAATGTCAGCACCTGGATCCAGAGCTGGCTGCAAGTCAACCTGAGCGAGTGGAATTCCACCAAGAAGGTCAGCTGTTTAATCACGAGTAACCAGGAAGAAAGAAAGTTGGATTTCAGCTTAAACCATGGTGAGAATGTAGCAAAATGGTCTTTCTGACCAATGGGACCCATTAGAGCCTGTGTATTATCTCTCGGAAAGAGCCTGAATTTACTGGAGTTCTTCAAGTGACTCTGGGAAGAGATTGCAGAGCTACATTTTAGAATTAGGGAATTATCTAAGGATAAACTTTTTATCAAGGATAGGGGAAAAAATGAGAGGGGGACTTTTTGGGGGTAGGTTTAGGGAATAAAGCAAGGGTAGAGTGAAGGGTAGAGGCTTATTGTTAAGAAAGCAATCTGGATATGGATCTAAGGATTTAGGATCAGGCATCTCATTTGTGATGCACTTTTATAAAGTCAAGAGTAGTCAGGGATAGTCTTCTAAAGTCTGCCATACTGGTATGGGTGACAGACTGTAGGATGATGGAGGAATTAGTGAAGGTGAATTGCAGAGAAACACTCCATCTGTGTCTGGAGAAGAAGTGTAGCCTGAGGGAATAAGTTTGAAGATGGGCTGTATAGGCTGGAATTCAGGAAATAGTATTAGATGAGAGAAGAATAGACCTAAAGGGAAGATGTGGAGGGTGGACACAGGAGGGCTTAGAAATAAAGGACTAGCAAAGGAGGAAGGGCTATGGGGGTTCAGGTCAGCTTTAGGGTAGGTCAGTAACTGTGGGGTAGATTTTAGGGAATAATCCTGAATGAGGATGGTTACATCACAATCTTGCTGTTTTAAGGTGTGTGCTGTACAATGTATATCCCTTTCTTGATGAGGGTAGATAGACAATAAATGTAAAAAACCATTGGGCACTTACGGAAAGGGGTTGAGATACAGTTGTGGCTCTAAGAGACTTGTAATGCCAGAAAGTGAGTGGTGAAGCCTTCTTCAGTAGCACCAAACATATGGGAGGTGAAGGCAAGCAATACAGGGGAGAGAAGGGATGGATGGAATGAGACTTCTAACCTAATGGTAAATGAATATCATACACGGACTGCCTTTCTCTAAAAAGCATGTTAAAGCTGAGGAATCAACATTTCTTGTGTGATTCTGATTCTAAAGTGTTTGTGACACTTTATACCTATTTTTACCACCCTTATTCATTACACGTGCTTTCTCCCCACCCCACTTCCCCAAAATCTTGCAGGCCCTTGGAAGGCTCCAAGCACCTATCTCCTGCCTGCATCCTCTGACACCGCCTACAAAGACCAAAGCCTCACCCTCTTCTGCATTATCAAAGACTTCTACCCAAAAGATGTCTCGGTCTGGTGGCAGGAGGATGAGGTGCCAATCGACATGGACCGTCAGCCTCAGAATGACCACCCGAGCTGTGACCACCAGAGCCAGCGATGTTCCCTGGTCAGCAAACTGGAGGTGTCCAGGACAGAATGGCTACTGGGGACTACCTACACCTGCCTAGTTGCCCACATGTCTTCTGAAGTGATTCTAGAAAGAAGCGTTAATGCCTATACTGGTAAAAACGTGTCTTAGCACTTCCTTCATCCCAGATTATCCCATTCAGGTCTCTCCACCCAAAAAAATCCTCTCTGACTCTCCATCATCCCATACCATCCCTCTAAACTCTTGGCCTCTTACCTCAGCCCTCATGTTCCAGTTTTACTTTTGCTAGACAAAGGCTTTATCTGTTCTGTGTATATTGCATGTGCCTATTAAAGCAATGACCCAACTGCACTGATGGGAAGCTTTCATATTTATGATCTTCTACCTCTTCAACAAGCATCAGGAATGTATGAATACTAAAGTTCATGGACTGCAGGTGGGACAGGAGGGGATTAGTAGTAATGTTATCTCTGTGCCTAGAACAGAATTATCAAAGATGCCTGTGAACTTGGTGTTATACTTCATTTCCTAGAAGTATCAGACTTCTGTCACAGGAACATATATATATAGGATTGAAAACCTCAACCTAGTGGGATAGCTTGGGGAGAAAGTATTTTCTTAATGTCTGGACTGGATCTCATCCCCATCTCAGTCACAAGCTTAGTTCTGGGATGTTAGACAAGTTACTCAGAAACTTGAAGTTCCACACAGTCCCTGGAAGATACAGAATACCTTTATCTCTCAAAATCAGGTCCCAGTTCTCTGTTTTATAACTCCTATGGAGGGCTTTGGAGATAAATATGTATATGGAATTGAGACACTGGAGCAATGGAGGGAATCTTACCTCTTCTGTCATACTAGCATAAAATAAAAATCCCTCTAGTCATAAAACGTACGGAGAAAGCAACAGTAAATGAATGGATAGAGAAACACATAGGACTTCAGGAGCATGGAAAAATTAGGAGTTATGTGGGGATGAAGGGGTCAGGTGTATGTGATGTGTAGGCAAATAGGTGTTTGAGGTGTGTGACAGACTGGTTGCATCACATCATGCAATGGATCCAGTGTTCCAAATCCACATAAAACCACTCGCCCATCTCTTTCCTTGGCATCTGCTTTGTAATGCTATGTTTAACTGATCTGGCCTAGTGTTTCATTGAAGAGACTCTTTTGGGTACAGGATATCAACTTGAAAGGAAAGAGAAAGGCAGAGGGGAGGAAAAATGAACAGAGTAAGTATTCCTAGGACCAATGTAATGAATTGCTTAGAATAACATGTGAAGATAGAATCATCTCCCCCAAAATGACGGCCAGTTGTTGAGATTTTCCAGAGATACTGCCTCAAGGGGAAAGAGAGTATCATTATCCCCCTGGGACACTTAACCCTAGAGCTCTGGAGAACCCAGCTCTAATGTAGCTCGGTCTCATATGGGTTTTGCCAACACAGGTGGATAAGAAGTTAATTCTGCTCAAGGGGCATTAAACGAGCTGCATTGAATAAGTTCTTTCCTCTGCTTTTCTGACATGATCCAGACTCTTGGGACTGCAGCATCATGAACTTCAGTCTTTGTGGCTTCCGAGATGACAATGAGGATGACTACACCGAGCTGGACGATGGCAACTGCGTCTGGACCACAGTCTCTACATTCATCGCCCTCTTCCTTGTCATGCTCTTCTACAGTGGCTTTGTCACCTTCATCAAGGTGAAACGGGGGGCCCATGAGTGACTCAGAGCAAGATAGCTTGACAGCCTTAGGCTGAAAACAGAAAGTTTTTTATTTCCCTGTCCATCTCTCTGGATATGCTTATATCTTCCTCTTTCTCTTTCCACAGGTGAAATAATTACTGCTCTGCTTAAAAGGAAGAAGACTGGAGGGAGCCAACCTCATTCTCTCCCTCTCTCCCATTCTCTTAGCCCTTTTGTGTTCCCTTGTCTGCCCATGATGGCGTTGTGTTTGCCTCAAAGGGAACATTTGTCCTACCAGAAGTGAGAGCAGAAGAGGAAATGTCTCTCCATCCATTTTAGCAAGGACATTTTTCCACATCTCCCAACCCAGTTGGGGATGGGAGTGGATAGGACTCCAGCTGGGGCTGTATGGATAAAATGCTCTCTTCCTCTTCCCCTCAGCTTCCCCTTACCAGCTTTCACATTCCTCAAAAATACCTTCTCTTCACTCCCCAGTCCTGAAAGGATACAGGAGTTGGAAGGGGTGGGCACACCATCTTCACCAGGAGATCTGATGGGCAGGGCAGAGTATCCCCTCCGTTTCAACTTGTCCTGGGTCCCATTTTGTAAAAGCACTTGTCTGTGGGCTGCATCTGCCCTAAGCCCTCCCACAGAGATTGAATCCTAAAGAAACCATCCCACTCTAACCTCACAAGACCCATATTGATTTCCCCACCAGATTCCCCTGTCTTCCCCAAAGGTACCCAACACAGACCTGTTTTCTGAATGGGATCTTTACTTGCAACAATTCCACTGAATGAGGCAAATTTTCTGGTTCAACCTCACAAAAACTAATTCAACCCAAAAAGACACCACCTCATTGTGGTTCTCCCCAAACCCAGATTACTCCAACCTGTGCCTGTTCATCCTCTCCCCCAGAAAGCAGTCCGTCTAAAATGGTTTCTTCAAATTCCCAGCTCCCAGAAGGAACCCCAAACCCAGAGCTCGAACAAAGCCCAAAACCAGAAACACATTCTACGCCTGCAAGAATAATTCCTAGCCACCTTCCATTCTCCAACCCTAGCTCTCTTGCAACCACTCGGTTCCCATTATGTTCTCCTGTGCTAGTTACTTGTACGAAACCCTAAAGATTCACCCCATAACACAATACTTTCACTGCCATGAATTATAACATAGGGTGGGCATATTTCATATGAATAACTGACTGAATTATATTATTGCATTGCTTTTAGCAGAGCAGCACTGATTTTGGTAGCTTTGCCTTAGCCTGTTTCAGTGCGTGTTGCATGGGCATGCCTTATATGCAGTTGCATTGCCTTGTACTCTACTGTAGCATGGTGCCATACTATATGATATTATATCTCACTGATTTGAATTGGCCTGTTGCATACTAGGTAGCATGTTGCATTGTCCAATAGTGAACTTATCTGCAGTGATGCTGTGCTGAAGTGGATTATAAGGTTACATGCTATGTTACTATTTACTATTAATCTTTTCTGTGACACCAGTGCTCATGGAAGAGCTGGGAAGGATGCTCCATTGTCCTAGACAGGGCATAAGCATAGAGTAACAGACCTGTCCAAAAGTCTTTACACTCTATCTAGACCAGACTTATGTGTGGATGGGGAAATAGCTATAACTCCCCAGCAGAGTAAATAATGTGAAGACAGTAAACAGCAAAATTGGGGGGGGGAGGGATCTGAAGGAAAGATAAAAGGGATGTGACAGGGAAGAAGGTAAGAGGAGGTAGATAAAGTGAAGCAGGGTGACAGAGTAAGAAGCCCCTCAGCGCACAGAACTAAGTATATTCCCAGCATTCAAAGCTTTGTTTAAAGTTCCTGCACTGCAGTTGATTCATTCACACTGCAACAAGGAGTTGTATAGCAGCAATGGCATGGCATGGCATTGAGTTGTATGGCACTGCCGTGTCTAGTTTCATTGGGTCATGTGGTACTGAGTTGCATTTCCTGCTTTACACAGAAATGTGCTCATGCACTGTCACGGAAATATCAAGGCCTCCATCATGGAGTCCTGTGCTCTGCAATTGAGAGCAGCTGCCTCACTCAGTCCCATTCTTCAGTTGATCAAGTGCCATTTTATGATCTATTAAGGTCCTGTGTCCTCACTGCTCCGATTGAAAGGTTCCCCCAGAACCTCTATCATCTGATGGTTAGAAACTTGCTACTGCTTTCTAGCCTACATTCACTCAGGTCCAATTTATACCCCTGTAGCACTGAGTTACATTGGTTTTGTTTCATGATATCACAGTACATGATATCAACTTTGCATTGTACCAGCGTTCAATGGGGCATGGTCTTATTCCAGTCTATCACATGGTATTTCATTAAGCTGCATTGTATCGTGTCTTAAGGCAAAACATACCTATGTATTGTACTATGTACTTGAGTTGGGGATTCCTTGTCATTCTTTTGCTTTTAAATAAAAATTATTATGACCCATTTCTGCCTCTGGGCTGATGTATTATCTTCACGCACACTGGAGACCTAGAGGCAGTGAAAGAATATTAATATGCTACAAACATATAGAAGTTGATTGTTTGATGGGAAGTTGAATTAACCCATTGACACATGACTCAGATGATCTGGGTTCACTTAGTAGCTCAGCTACAGGCTTTCCTGTTTGGTATTCGTCAAATCACTATATTGCCGTGTACAACATTTTCAGAAGTTTTCAAAAGTTACACTACTTAAAAACCAGAATCCCACTTATTCTTGGCTTCAATAGGAGTTATGTTCCTAACCTGTTTGAGACATCCTTTGAGTGTCCATTGGCCTTTTTAAAGCCACCAAAATGCCTTTAAAATTTTCATGCTCTGGGAACTTCTAAAAAATTCCCATCAGAGACTCTAAGCCTTAAAAAAAATTGCACCCAAATTCCTTTTTTCCCCAAACTTATCTGATAGTGATAAACAATGCTCAGAAAAATCTGCATTCATTGTGGGAGAGTTTTCTTCAACTATTAGTGTAAGTCAGTAGTAGATCTCTAATTTAATATTTATTTGTGTCTTTTTGGAAATGTTAAGCCCTTTCCAAAGGCAACAAAATCAACTTTCAGGAGACACAAGGTAATACAACGTATTGAAAATCAAACCACTTCTTTTTGAGGCTCTTGTATGAGTTTAGTTGCCTATCTTTACCACCACCACCCCACCGCCCATCCTTGTTGCAAAAAGGTGACAAATTGTCCTTCTAACCCACAGGAAACTCTCTCCATTTCATTGGCCCTTCTTTCTATCTTGTCTCTATATTCATAGGAATATGAATATAGGAATCCATGATCTTCTGATTTTCCCAAACCAAATTTAACAGCCAGTTGGCACAAAAGCAAAGGGGCATCCATTGGCTTAATAAGCTTCAATCCTGGACGTACTTGCTGAGACTTGTAGCATTCCCCAGCCTTCACTTTCCAACTTCAATTCTTTTGGACTACCCTGGGTGCTATTATAGTCTCAGTGAACAGAAAGGTCTTTTATTATTTTGTGTGAGTATATTTTTTCCACTTCTTGTGGCACAGGTTGGGGGGGAATAGGAGCGAGAGGCCGAACTCCTGGGTTTTATCCCTGGGTCAAGGGGTACAGAGAAGTTCCTGTTGGTATAGTTGGAAGTCAGGATTCCTGAGTCTTATTCCTTTCTGCTCCATTGAATTGGTCATGGAGACTCAGTGTCTTAGTTTTCCCATGCAAGGGTTGTGGGAGCTCCATGAATAAAACCTTTGGTTTAAAAGGTTAAACCAAAGCAGATGGTTATCATAAACTACAGCATGTTTTTAATTTTGTTTTTCACCAACAAACCCACAATGGTTATTTGTCATCTGCCTCATCTACCAAATTTCCAGTGCTGAGCCCACAAATCAAATTCGCCCCTATCAGTGCTGGCATTTCTGCCCCAGAATGACTCAAAGGGGAACTATCTGGTTGCAGCTGTTTCGACAAACAGGATGCACCTGTTCTTAAGGAGGTTAAATAATCCAGTCCAGATGTTGCGGACAGCTCTTGGCTTAACCACCAGTGCCTTACAGCCTTAGATGCTAGAGAAAACACAGGCCACAATGTCAATCTTCCTTAAACTGGCATCTTTGCTTCTGCTTTGAAAATGACTCAGTGGCTCATGACAGACAAACAAGTGAACATGAGCATCCAGTACAACGCTTTAGCTAAGAATGACACAGCATCCTAAACTGTATAATCAGGGGAATATCAGCTCTTAATGGAACTGCAGTTTATCTCAGCAGGCTTGTTAGAGGAATTCTCTTAGACTCCCTTAAATCCTGATGTGGCACCAATAGCTGAAAAGGATAGCAGTTCTGCCATTGTCTTTCCATGAAATATAAGACTTGTTTTCAGAGATCCCAAGTCTTACACTGGCTGCTGTGGGCTTAGCCACTAGGCAGCTCTGTACAGGATGTACTTCCAAATCAACAGAAGGCAATTCCTTGTTGCCATGCTAGGTAAAAATAGTTGGACTGAAAGGAAACTAAAGTTAACAACTCACATTTTCGTCTACTTGAGTTGATAGACTCCAGGGGAAATGCGCATAAGGTTTTATAATCACAAGTGGGCAGCCATGTGAACCTTTAATGCATTCAAAATGTGTTGGCCTCTGCAGTGAGGTGGCCTGAAAAGCCAGGTGACAGGATGGCTAGCTAACTGGATGCTTGCATATGAGACTGAATAGAGGGGTGGCCTTAAATCATTTTATTTTAGAAGTACAAAAGTAATGAAGAATGGGAACATCAAACAACAGATTGAATTGGGATATCCTTATTCCTGCATAGGGAATATCCTTATCCCTATACACGTGCACATGTACCCATACCGCCATGGGTACATGTGCACACAGAGGGACTCCACTCTCCCTTCTCTGCTCATTAAAGCAGAAACAATAAAAAACTGCCAGAGAACTTTCTCTCATTACTCCAGTTGCCTGATGAGATGGAAGGCAGGATAAAGCTGGACAGATGTGATAAAGAAGGACCCTGAGTGTCGCCCATCTTCTCCATAGCCAGAAGCCCAGCAATCATTGCACCTGTGAGAGGCACAGAACAGAGAGGTGAAGTTGTTGCCAATCATATCTCTTCTCCAGGATTTTCTCAGTCTTTTTTAACTGGAGAAGGGGCTATTGCCACCACCCAGTATGACCTCACACATAGCCTAGGGTAGTGCTACTCACCCCAAAAGTGTTGCAAGAATATACAAAAGGGTCATAGACAAACTTTAAAAATGGATTTTCCTTTAAAGGAGAAAAACATGGGAAACTGGGATTTTTTCTTGCAGGCTGGAATTCTGCCAGCCTGTAAGGGGCTGCTTCAGGCTCCCCTGCCCCGCATACTGGGGCAGAGGGCAGTGGGGCTGGAGTGAGGGGCACTAGCATGGCCTGGGTGCTGTTTTCTACTTAAACTACAGTATTTACTGGGTTGGGACTGGCCATTGATGTTTACAAATGGGTTCTGGTACAAAAAAGGTTGAGAACCACTGTTTTAAGAGATGTTCCTCCCTTGGCAGATGCAGCACTGCCTAACATGCTGGTGGGTGTTGTTTGGCTCTTCATGCTTTTTGGTCTACTGCTCTATCCCCAATGTAGGGGATCACCAAAGCCCTTCTTCCCCCCCTCCCCTTTTTTTTTTTTTTTTACATGCTCATTCCCCCATGCTCTCTCTCTGCCTTGGGAGGTCCTGCCAAGAGTTAAACATCAGTTGGCATGGTCGTAGCAACCATAAATACTCCCGTTGCTTCAACAGTGTCCCACCAATTAGATCAGCCCCTCAGGCCAATGCAGGACTGCTATCATGTTTTGAGTGGGCACAGAACCCAGTACAAATGGGCTGTGATCTGCAACTGAGACTCAAAATAACAATAGATATTACTCGATAGCTAATCCCACACAAACAGGGAGGCTCCTCTTGCTATCCATGCCATGAGATTGCACATAACTGAGAAAAGTGTTCCCTTCTGACTATTGCTAAGGACCAATAGATATTTATTATAGTGTGTGCTGATGTTGAATACTGATAATTGATCTTGAATTACTGATCCCTATATTGCTGGTTTTAATAGTCAATGACTTAATAGAGAAGTGCTTTGAAAATCAAGGGATGTCCACTGATCACCACTCATTGATAAACAATTACTGACAAATCAGTACCTGATAATAGTTTCCAGAAGACTGGTGGTTGCCATTGGTCCATTTTAATTATTTTTTTTATGTTTGGTAATTCCTCATAGATCTTGCCACCTATTTTTCATTAAATGCTGATCAGTGCCTATTAGTTATTAAAAGCTAATGACTGACTAATGGCTATTTGTTACTGCTGAAAACTCATCACTAAATCAGCAATAAATACAAACTGCTGACTACCAAGTATTAATGAATGATCAAAAATTCTTGATCCTTACCATTAATTGAGAGTAATTCATAGTTTTCTTGAACGTTAGTTGGACTGGCAAGAGATTTATAAAACAATGATCCTTGCTTGTGGATTACTAAACAGAGGTGAATGACTCGTGGCCACTGATAAATGGTTTCTAATGATCAGTTGATGTTCCAATACAGATAGTTTACAGCTGATGATTAAGTATTGATGGAGGTTGGTAGTCAACTAACAAATCAATATTGATTATTGATCACTAAACACTAATTGTTGGAGTATAGCATGAAGCCCGATCATGAATGCTGGAAGCCATCATTACCTTGAACATTGTGACACCAGTGCTATAGCACAGACTGAGCAGGAAAAGAACAATGAAGGTAAGTGCTGTCCAGAAATTTTCAGGTTCTTCTTCTCCTTCTTCAACATAATCCCCTGGGTTCAGCACCACAAAGACAGGAGCTAGGGTCAAGATAAATATCCAGTTAGAGTGGCCTCCACTTTAACCCTGCATGGACATTCATGCCTCAGGAGCCACAAACATACTCTGTCACCCTACAACTGGAAGGGAGTTCTGTGCCCATCATGAAAGACAAAGATGCAGGGAAACCTCCAATTTTCAGTTGTAAAAGGATCCTCAGGGATTTTGATGCCCAGAACCCATTTAAAATGATTTCCATGAGGTTCTTTAGAAATCACAGCCTTCAGCTTTTACAAAACCTTCCCCAAGCAAACCACGCATAGTCAACAATGCTCTGAAATAGAAAATGATCTGGGCATCACCACCAAGTCAGTCAGTGGCATTGTGAATACCCACCTAAGCACTAACAGCTCCCCAGTGCTTTCCACTGTAAGCCTCAATGGTACCACCTCCCTAGCAGCAGAAAGGCCCCCATTATTCTCATTCACAGTATGTTGGTGACATAACAAATATTCCCACAGAGATCATGGCTAACTTTTCAAAAAGCTCATTGAACACTAGTAGGTGCATGATTCTGCGACCAGGGGTTTGGAGGTGAGTTCAGGATACTTGGCTTCCATTCCTGCCAGTGCCATGAACCTGACAAATCTTCTATTCAAAAGCTTGTCCAACTTTATCCCAATCATACAGTTGGTCCAATAAGAGATATCACCAAAAAAATCCTTGTCTCTCACTTAGGTCCTGGACCAACATGGCTACAGCATCAATTCAACTCTACCATGGAATTGTTGCGTCATTCCGTGAGTCACTTCTCACCTCTTTCCTCCTCCTACCCATTATTTGATTTGTTTGGACCATAACCTATTTAGGCATGGGACATGGAACTCATTCACTCATATACACATATAGTTCCTAGATTGTGGGAAGGCTAAACTCAGTTGAGTCTTCTGTATATGTCCATAGTGCACATAATGACTGAACCATCAGTACCCACAAGATGTCAAGCCACAAACCTTTCTCCACATCAAACCCCAACACATCCACGCACACTACTTTCCCAAAAAACCCAATCTTGTTTCAATAAAGATCCTGATTACTTTATGAGCGAGCTATTAAGTCGTGGTGGTCTGGGATAGACCAGGAGTGATCCCCATGACCTGAATGATTCCTACCAGTCATACATGCCCTTTATCCTATGTTCTTGTAGCATGAGCATCTCTCTGCAAGGGTCTGAGTTGAGAACTTCTCAGGACACTGAGAAGTAGTAGTAAGGAGGTAAGGAGACCTTTTAACTCACTACCAGCCTAGACTCTATTGGGAAACAGTTCCCTGGAGCTGGACAGCCTTACAGTATGCACTTCTCTGAGCTTTCTATATGTGCTGTGGCCTGGCCATCACCCCCAAAGGTAAATGTTATGACACTTCCTCAATTAACATGTGGTTCCATTTGATGGGTCATCAGATTTCTAGTCATTCTGCATCTGGGCCAGAGGCCAGGAAAAATGGGAAGCTTGGCTTTCTGACAAAACTAATAGTATCTCAGGGTTGGAAGGTAAATTAAGGTCATCTGCTCCAATCTTCTTCATTCCTAAACCATCCCAGACAGAAGCCAATCCACTGGGTTACAACATGAAAGATCTTGGTGTTATTCCACCTACATCACTTGAGCCAAACAACTTCATCCCGTAATTTCAACCTCTAGCCCCTGACTTCTGGTTAAGTTAAAGCAAAAGTTCAAAGTAAGATGTTCTGTCATGATCAAGAAGCCTCCAGTATGAAGAATCTACCATACCTCTAGATAAATTGGTTTAGTTGTTCTTCCCCTCACATACAAGTTTTCCTCATGTTTCTAGACTGAATCTTTCTGTTTTGCTCCCAAAAACTTGACTCCTTTCCTCTTCCCTGTGCCAGCTTTAGTCAAAAACTTCCTGCCTTTATATGGGTAGTTTAGGCCACAGTCAAGTCAATGTTCAACTATTTTTTTCACAAACTGAACACCAGTAACTGCTTTGGTTTCCCTTCATAAGATCTCATCACATCTGCAGATTAGGGTAAAATTCTGGTTGTGATTGAGTGTTTAAATTCCTCACTGTTCTCTGAAATTTATCATGAGAGTCAATTCAAATAAAATAGAAGGTAGGCAAAAGAGTCCCTTGCATCCCTTTATTAAAAAAAAAAATCTAATCTTCAGTTCCTCTTTTTGATCTGTGGTGTGACATTTTCTGGAGAGGGACTGTCCCTGACATGCTTTCCATGCTGCAAACAACAGGATGGGGCCCCAATCTCAGGTTGATGCCATGCAAGGAAGTCTCTGGTACATTCTCAACCTTAAAGTCCTTTCTCAGGTGCCACCAAGTGTTCCCCACCTTCATGCCTGCTGTCTGAAATCTGACTTATCCCACCCATTATTCTTTGTATTGCAGTTACCCCTAGCAGCTGTGGCTTATGGAGCACAACATGAGGCATAGTGCAAACATATCCAAAGACAGCACCTTCCCGATCAAGGTTGGCTTAGCAAGACCAACATGTGGTCTTGGAAGATGCGGTGGATACTTGACCAACAGGTTTGTCTAGGCTGTGTATTTTCTACACCTACCCTTGTATCTCTGCCTCAGTAAGTACATTTCCTCCCTTTTGAAAGTACTTGTGATCTCAACCACAAATCATTCATCTTAGCACATGGTTACCGATGTGGAATTCCCCAGCATGAATTCATCAGTGGGTCAGATTAGATTTTCATCCCTTTCTGCTTATCCAAGCTTAGAATGGCCAAATGACCCAGCTTTAGAAATCACTTGCTGTTGCATTTAAACTCTAGTGCATCTGTGAAAAGCTTCAGATTTAAAAAATACAGGAAGCAGCCCCCATTATGGACTGCAAATCCAACTGACAAATTGCAATTTAACCCAGTGACAATAACCTCCTCTCAGCTCCGTTGTAGCTAGCACAGGTCAGGTCTTCATATGAGGAAGCTGGTATCACATCACCACATTCATACCTAATATGGCATTCTTGCCTGTGAAACCTTGAATGATTTATTCACTGATCTGACAGGAGAGACCCTCATCTGATTTTCTATGCAACACTGGCTATGGAACTCCATCCAATTACCCTGATGCGGAGCCAAACTCTACGTTTGACTGAGGAATCTGTCAAAAAGATAGCCCATCTGAATGGGAAGACCTCAACAGTTGGAAAATCCACCTTTTCACTTAACAGGTTTTCCCACTGGTTTAATCCAAAAATTTCCTTTCATTTTGGCTTAAATTTCCTTGCCTTTACCTTACAGTCATTAATCTCATGAAAAATGAATATGAGACAGACCCAAGAGGAAGAAGAAAGGTTTCAAGCAGGATAGTGAGGCTGAAAAATTGACCATGTGAAAAGACAATGGCCCAGTGAAAACAGACTCTAACATGTTGCATTTTTATTGTACATAGAGCACGTACAGCCAAGCCCCATTCACCAGAGCCCCCCCTGCTTTACACACAGGCTACAGGGCACCACAAACACACAAGACTTGCAGGGCTCTGTCTCCTCAGTAGCAGGTGACCTCAGTATCAGACAAGACCACAGAGACGTTGACGGTGGTGGGTTTACCGGAGGCTTTGTCCACGCTTCTGTGGACGAAGGTCATCGGGAGGCCTTCATGGCCCACCACACAGGAAAACGCGTTTCCCTGCTGCCACTCTGATGCTGGGACGGTGAGCTTGCTGTAGATGAAGTAGCCGTTCCCCTTCTGCGCAGGGTCTGGGTAGGGTCCAACATTCACGTAGGCTTCTGGGGGCATGGACCGGTCCTGCTGGGTCCATGTCACCAGGATGTCACTGGGGTGGAAGCCCTTGGCCAGACAGGTCACGGTGGCTGATTCCTGCAGGGTCAGCTCATCAGCAGAAGGAGGGTAGACGTAGACAGAAGGGGCCTGTACATTGACCTCTGCCACATAGAACCAGTAAAGTGTTAGTGGCCAGAAACCAAATGTAGGAATCCTGTCTGTCCTTACCCAATGGATCCAAATCCCATCCCAGGACTGGGGATAGGAGGAGTCCTGACCTCCATAGATTCCCTTCTCCACCTAATACACCCAACTTTCCTCATAAAGCTGGGGATAAAACCCAAATCCACCCTTTTCTCAATACTATGCCCAACTCCATTCCCAGAGTGAGGGTTTAAATCCAGGATCCCCCATTCAAAAATTTAACTATTGAATCCCACATGAAAGGTAGTTAGAGTCAACACCTCTGACCATATTGTAGTCTTCATTGCCATTAGCCAACCCATCTCCTGACATGGCCTGAACCTGGGTTGGCATCCCCATCACAGACAATACAGTCTCCGTACCTTGGGTCTTAGAGATGGATTTGGTGATGGCTGATGGGATGTCTGGGTGCTTCACTGTGCAGGTGAATTTCTCTCCAGACTTCCACTCCTCTGCACACACCCGAAGGATGCTGGTCACACTGAAGGTGCCATTTTTTTGCTGAATTGGCTTCCCAGTCACTACGTCCTTGGCATTACCACTCCCCCGGCTCCAAGTGATCTCAGGGCTGCTGGTTGACCCCAGGTTGGTGACCAAACAGGTGATGGTGGTGTTGTGGGCTATATAGAGGTCCTCCAGGGAAGGGGGAAGGAGGAGCACCTCCACTGGGGATGGGTCACAGCCATCTAGTAGAGTAGGAAATGGGATTGAGTGCTGGGCTTTACAAAGGTGGAGTGGGAGGAAGGTGGAATCCCAGCTGCATGTGATACAGCAAACCAATTCCAAAGGAGGTTTGAAAAACAGGGTAAAAGTTAAATGGAAAGACAGTGAGATCCCAATGGACAGGGGTATCTAGATGGACAGGGGAATATCCTAAACATGGCTGAAGGATTTGAACACACTGAAGTCCCTCTGGAATGAATGCTTTTTTTAACTCCCTAAATGGATCTGAAGGTCTCATCCTCTGCTATTGGGCGGTTGTTGGGTGCTCTCATCCACTGGATCCCTCTGCCTTGCAAGAGCTATGGCTGCAACCCAGAGACCAGGTTTTATTTCACTTAGTATTTACACAAGTTGACTTAGGTGCCTAAGTGCAGTCCTATTTCCCCCTTGCTTGAGTCACTGGAAATACACTTAAAGCACAACCCTCCTCACCACTTTTTTGTGACTCAGTCTTAAGTCTAGGATGATGGTGTGTCAGAAATTAGGTGTATTTCCAGAACTTGCCCTGGGTGAGATAAAACCACATTTAAACACGCCAACTTACTTCTATAGTGTAATATAAGTCAATGTGTAAAATGTTTTTCATATTTTGCTTCCATAATATGATAACACTCCATGATTTTCTATGGTGAGCTGCAGGCTCTCAAAAGGTTTTGAAAGATTAAGAGGTAAAAGAGTGCTAATTGCCTTGCCTAAATACCCTGCCATGGAGAAAACAGCAGCTCCTAAATAGAGAATTGATTTTAGTGGATTTCTATCTGTCTTCCACCATCATTTAATGTATATATTCTGCTCTCAGCATTGCTTTTTTCAAATATCTAATGTTCCCTGAGAACAATCAGTTTTTCCTCTTACATTTTCCTCTGTAGTGTCTTTAAGTTTCCTAGAGACAAGGATTTTTTTCTTTTGTAATGTCCTTTAATGGACTAACTGTAAAGGTGGGAGAAAGATTAGAAAAGCTTTTCAATGTCAAGTGCTCTTCCGTCCTCAGATGTGGGAAACAGAAACTTCAATGCTGTGTCTCCCAAAATATATCCCTTTCTTCCCACCCGCTTCCCATTCATTTTAGCTGCATCTCTATCCAACCTCACGCAGCATACATCCATTTATTCACTGTTGATATGTTTCTTTCCACCCATTTAAACATTCCTGGATCCACCTTTCACCCCCAAAGCCAATCCATCTTGACCCTGGTATCTGGGTACAGTCCCCACTACATTTAGGCAATGCTGGTTTTAACTTCACCCTCCTTGTTTCCCCCCATGCCCTGCCAGCCTCAGAGGCCCTCACCTTCACACTTGCTTGCATTGTGCATCTCAAAGCCCGAGGTAATTCCAGGATGGGTCACTTTGCATGTGTAGACATCTCCTCTTTTCCAGCTGTCCTTGGAGACGTTCACTCGGCTTTCACCCATGTAGTAACCATCTGCACCTTGGACAGAGGAGTAGCCTGGGCTGGGATTCTTCTTCTCTCCATTCACCAGCCATTCCACTTTGGCTTCATTTGGCTTGAAGCGCTGGAGGAGACAAACCAGCTCCACAGGGGATGTTGTAGAGCCATCCTCACAGGCTGCGGCTAGGAGGCTAATCTGTGGTTTTTTCACGTCACACTCAAAGAGAGGCTCTGGAGAGGGAAAAGATTATGAGGTCAGAGGCATAAACTTATCACCTTTAGGGAGCATCTAGTTCAATCTTGCCTGGGGCAGGCAGGTGACTGTGAAAACAGATGATAGATCCTTCTAACTTCCCTGTACAACCATGCATCCAGTAACTCGCTCCGTAGCATCCAATCATCCATGCATGCATCCTTCCCCCTCTATCATGCATCCATCTGTCTATGAGTCTGTCCATCCATCTATGTATGTAAGTGTCCTCCTTTCAGTACAATATAATCTATTGGTTAATCTGTCTGTGTTTCTTCCACAGCCTCACACATTTTCCCAGACAATTCTGCCACCAGTTTCACTCTCCTCACACCTCTGTCATCCATATTCTCTCACCTGTTGGGACAGGCTTAGAAGTCTTCGTGTTTGTGGGGTTGTGAGCCACCTTGCACTGGAAACTGTTACCCTTCACATTCGTGCCAAGGATGCTCAGCTGGCTGCTGCTGGTGAGGTGGCCATTGCTGTTTTTCATTGGTGGGAAGTTTTGGGTCACATTTTGCATCCCTTTAGAAATTTCCCATGTGATGTCCACTGGCACTGGGAAATACCCGGTCACCAGGCAGGCAAAGGTCATGTCACCCTTGAGGTTTTTGGTAAAGGTGTCACAGCTTGGCACCAGGGGGTACACAGCAGGAGGTGCAGGAAGCTCTGCAAGAGGGAAGAAGAAAACAAATGAAAAGGACCAGAGGAATTCAAAGACTACAATCAGAAATGCTAAGAGCATCAGGATTCCAGCCTCTGTGTGTGTCCTACGCATACTGTTATATATTCCAAGCAGGGAGTGGTTCCCCATCTCCTCCCACATTATAATCCACTGCCCACCTAGAGCTGTAGCTAAAACCCAGGAGTCCTGGAACCCAGACCCTCTGCTTTAATCTACCATATCTTCACTCTCTTCCCAAAGATACAGATAAAACCAAAAAGTCTTGGTTACCAGTCTCCATGCCTTAATTACTCGACTCTATCGTTTGCATTTCTCAGCTATCCCTCAGCCCCCAGACCATCCCTCTGTCTGTCTATTCATCTCAAAGCATGCTACTCTTTACAATCAATCTTTGGATCTAACCCATACACCCTGGTATCTGTATGGAAACTAATGGCCTCAGGCATGGTTCTTGCCCAGAGCCTGTTGGATTTCAGTTGATTTTACCCATACTCCCAGAGACAAAGAATCTGTCTTCTGTCTTATCGGAGCAGAAACTTAGGGTCTTATATTGCCTGCTCCATCCATCCACAGAGCTGACTGAGGTTGGCCAACACAGCCCCCAGTTACCACCGTTGAGTTCTAGCCCCACATTTGTGATCCGTGAAAGGTGCTGGAAGACAAGAGACCTGGTTTCTACTTCAGCACAGACAGAGGGGAGGCCTGGAAAATAGTCTGAAGAAGATGAGAGTTAAGACTCTTGGTTCTCTTTCCATCTATGGAAAGGCAGCAGAGTCTGCTTCATTCCCCTCTCGCAGGGGAAGTTATGTATGAGAGCCTTTAGAGAGACAATATTTTTCTGAGCTCTGTGGCCTCCTTGCCAGACCTTGTGGCAAAAACCAGACAGACAAAGAGACAGAATGGGCTGAAAAGGGGAAGTCTAGATGAGCACAAGTCACGCTAAGGGTGTTTTTCACCCCAGGGTCACCTTCTGCATTCACCCAACCATCAAATTAGTATTTGTCTTCTCACCAGTTTCAACAGCAGACCTAGCCAGCAGGATGTCCCCTATGGTCTGCATGGCCACCTTCCTATAACCCTTGGAGGGAGTAAAGTCCTCCCAGCCTCAAAAAAGCAAGGATGCCTCAGAGGAGACAAACAAGAAAACCCAGGCAAGGGCTGGACTCCTGTAAAGATCCTCCTGGGTATCACCCTACCACAACCAGTGCTTTGGTGAGTAAAACAGAGGGAAGCAGCTTCCATTCCATCCCTGCCCCATGAATTTAGAGGGGTTTGTATGCCTTTCAGAGCAATCAGCCTTAAGGAAGAAGGGAATGACTGAAGAGGACTGCTGGAGTTTGGGGGCTATCTCCCAGTTCTGGGAAAGGAACAGAGAGTACTAGATTAAACAGGGGACACAGGAACCCCGGACTCCTGGGTTCTCTTCTGAACTGTGACCCAAAATTGGGGAAGAGCTGGACTAGGATGGTGCCCTTCACTACCTCTCTATGATGAGGAGTGGTGAATACAAAGCTACTTCTGCTCTGCTATGCCCTGTGGAGGGGATGACCCAAGGGATCAGGAGCCCCTTGCCTTGGACCTATGCCCTGAGTCGGGGGAGGTAAGGAAGTATTCTGCATGGGCTACACAGGCTGCCACTAACAACTGAGGGGCACCAACAAGACCATTGTAATAGGATGCTGCAAGTCAGGAGAAGTAGCCGTTTTGGCACGGAGTCCGTGGCAGGAACAGCAAAGGGGTTACAGATTGAGATTGAAGAGCCCTACCAGATGTGGTGGGAGCCCAGGGCTGGGATAGCAGGAGTGGTGGGTCAGTATTGAAAGGCACCCAAAGAGCTTCTGGGGACCCCAAATTTAGGACCCCAAATTTAGCTAGGGCTAATTTAGCTAGGGCCTCCATGCTAGCATGGAGAGGGAGGGTAGAGATTAGAGGAGAGTCCAAGGCAAGGGCACTAGGGTGCTTCTGGGTGGGATTTAGAGAGCATAAGACAAACTCTGGGAGTGGAAGGTGGGGATTGTGGTGCTTTTCAGGACAGAAGAGCACCCACACAGTGGGTTCAAGGAGCAAGGGCTGCACTAGCAGGGGCTACATGCCAGGACCAAGTGGTACAAGCAGGGCTGGCGGGGGATCCTCATGGGTGTACCTTTAGCCATGCTGTCAATGTTACCAGCAGGGCTTGCAGTGATGGGCTGCTGTTCAAGCCTGAGGAGCACCAGCACAGCTAAGATGGGAGACCCCAGGGCTATGCTAGATGTGTCCAGAGCATGGAGCACTGGAAGGGCTGAATGCACAGTTCAGGGCTGGGCTGGTGGGGCTGTGAGTTTGGAGTGAGCGGCACTAACAGAGCTCTTTAGGGAGCATAGAGTCAGGAAATCATGGAGACTGTGATTCAGGGATGCTTAGGATCCTGTGAGCAGAGCTCAGGGCTGGGATAGCAGGGGCCTGCTATTCACTCCAGGAGCCATCAGCTGAGCTGAAAGAGCCCTGCTCTAGGGGAGTAGGGAGTGCTGTTCAAGACTGAAGAGCATGAGCAGAGGTGGGCCAGAAGGGACTGTGGGTTGAAGTGAGGGGCAATAGGAAAGCTGTCAGGGGGTGCGGGGAGTTTGGGGTGCTGTTAATAAGGACTGATGAGCAGCAGCAGAGCTCTGGAGGGAGCCACATGCTTGGCTAGCTGTGGGGCAAGAGTGAGAGCCAGCAGCAGAGCTGTAGTAGGGAGACCAGATCCGGATAGTGAGGGACAGTGGTTCAGCTGAGGGCCACCAGCACAGCTGGCGGTGGGAAATCATATTAGGGGCATGCAAGGGAGGTGAACAGGAAGAACTGTGCAGAGATCCCTAGGCTGTGGTATTAGGGGCTGTAGGCTGGTACTGAGGGCACCAGATAACCTAGGGATGCCAGAAGTTGAGGTAGCAGAGGCACCAATTCAGGGGCAGCAGAAGAGTTGGGAAGTGGGAAATTCTAGGCTGAAAATAGCAAAACATGAGGATCAGGATTAAGGGCACCAGCAAACCTAGGAGGGAGGGTTCTCAGGGTTGGATTTGGAAGTGGAGGCAAGCTGGGATTGGGGACCATCCTCTGATCTCAGGAGAGAGCCCAGGTTGAGCTGCAAGCTGACACTGATGGATGCCATCAAAGCTGGTGGGGGAAGCCCAAGGCTGGGATTGCAGAGCAGTTGCAGGGAAGGATTGAGGAACAAGAGCAGAGCTGGTGGAGGAGGCATGGCTGGGGTAGCAGGGGGGCTAGGGAATTAGACTGGGGGGAGGACATCCCATGGCTGAGGTAGCATGGGGCTGCAGGCTGGGACTGGGTTGCCGCAGAGCTCAGAAGAAAGCCCTGGGTTGGGTTACTAGCCTGATGGACACCATGAGGACTGGTGGTGGGAGCCCAGGCCTGGGATAGCATGGAGCTGTGTAGCAGCTGAGTGGCCAGCAGAGCTTGGAATCAAGGGCTGGTGCAGCAACGTGAATTTGAGGGGTACCCTCAGGGTTGAGCTGGAGCTCAAGTCTCAGTTTCCAGGGGGGACTGCATGACCACTGGGTTAGAGATGTAGATCTGAGGCAGTCTGGGATACAGTATAGAGCGGCAACAGCAGTGCTCATGGTTGTGAGCCAAGGGTCAAGGTAGGAGGCAGCTGTGGGCTGAGACAAAGGGGCACTGAAGACTGGTGAGATCAGTGGATCCTGAAGATACAATAGGAAAAATAAATGGGTCAGAACTGGGGGCTAGAGCTCATATAGTATGGAGGTGTTCACAGAATTGGATGGCAGAGGGCTCATAGGTCTGTATTTAGTGGCACTGGCAGAGCGATGAGAGAGGATTTCTCAACACTGGGAGTGCATGGGCTGTGGAACTGGTTTGAATGGCACCATCAGGTATATCTCAGATGGGTTTCATGCTTGGCTCCTCATCTCCTCACTGTAAATCATGATTGTCTAAACAGTCAGAAAATCCCTAATACTCTTTCACCCCTGATCCTACCACTTGACTATGACCCGTTAGGGTCAACTGTGTCACAACTCTTGAGCCCAAGACTTTTCACTGGCTTCCTAGTTGAATCCTTAACTCTAATTCTAAACTCCAAGGGACTGAGAGGACAAGAAATTGTCTAGCAACCCAACAAATATACTTTGTGAGAGTTGGCCCAATATTGAGCTAGGGCAGGGTTCTTCAACTCCAACCCCCACTCCATCTTCCTAAATTTTTCCACCTCCATCCACCCATCCTAACTGCTGGCTACCCTACTGCCTACCCCATCATTTGTTTCTCCAGCCTTACCACTAACTCCATCCCTAATCTAAAGCTATCTTGCTCCTAGCACTAGGGTTGGGGAACACTGAGGGATTCCCCTGGTTCCATTTCCCTTATAACTAGGTCTTCAGTAGCCTGGGAGTGGGATTCTGAGTCCTTTCATGCAGCTTCCCACTAGCACCTGTCCTGATCTGCTAGATGTCTGAGTCTTTCCAACCGGTCCTGAAGCAACACTCAGGGAGGAGGTGTTCATTCATTCGGTTGGCTGGTTTTGTCTTGTGGCCATGTGTTGACCATGTATGTTAAGAGCAATGCCTCATCAAACCTTTACTTTTTGGCACTGTGTTGCCTGGCACCTGACTTAGCTCCCTGGTTTGTGGCCCAAAGAGCCGGTTTTCAAAGAGGTTGGACCTTTGAGCAGCAAACCACAGAAAGAAGGCCAAACAGAGCCAAAAATTTTGCTGCTAGCATGTTATAAAACAGTGCAAAGAGGGTTGTTTGCACTTCCTGGGTTAGCTCAGTAGCATGATGCTACTATTGATTGGGTCTCTATGGGGTTCACTCTGACAAATTTGGGGGAGGGAAAGTAGAAGTGGGTCTTCCACTGATGAACAGCTATTTGCAGCATTTCTGTGTGTGTCTGTCTTGGACATTTCCATTGATTTGTTGAGGAAAAAATCATAGCCCATCTTTTCTAATGCCCTCTGTTTGGAGTGGGGTCATATACAAGTATATGAGCATATGACTATACCTCTATTCTAGGCAGAGTTCAAATGTTACTCGTGATGTCCCTGCCTACCTTATTTTGTTGCATTAGAAAGCACAGAGGCAGAGACAAGCAGAAGACAGGCTGATTCCTAGAAAAACAGGATGCTCAACTAGGGGCCCTTCTAGGAATCACACCCACAACTTGCCTTTCCTGCTGTGCCCAGTTCTAATCAGAGGTGGTAGAGAAAGAAAGTGAGCTGCAGAACAGCTAATGGGTGACTTACTATGCTGCTCACTGCAGTGGTTGAGTAAGTTCAGAGCATGTGGCAGGGATGGACCAGGCTAGGGAAAAGCTGCCAGGAAAAAAATACAGCAAGAAAGGAGCTGAGGGTCCATGGTAGGGGTGTTCAGCACGTACATGCTGATCTGCCGGCTTGTCCCTGTACTGCACTGCTCTAAGAGAACTGAGCCTTATATATAAGATTTTAAGATCCAATTACTAGGAAGGTGCTTCCATTTAATGGTGGCTGTGAGGCAGTGCCCAGCCTACAGTTGTAGACGTTGGCATTATTTTCTCCCCCTAAACAGCCCCAAGACTTTCTTCCTCTTGGAAATCAGCAGTATCCCCACGGTTCTCATGGCATTGTTTACTTTAACATCTCTTCTCTCCGCACTCCTTGACAACCTTTTTTTAATTATTTTTCTTTTCTCCAGCATCTCCGACTGCTCCAACTCTTTTCCCTCTCGTCGCATCTTGTGGGAAAGGAGCCAACCAGGATCCCAAGACCTTGGGCTGTTTGGCTCTGGATTTCTTCCCTGACAAGGCCACTTTCTCTTGGAACAACAAACAGAACAGCAGCATCAGTGAAGGCATCAGAAATTTCCCCGCAGTCTGGACGAATGCTGGGACCTTCACTGCTGCCACCCAGATATCGATTAGTGCCGTCAACTTGGCAGTACAGAGACCTTTGTACTGCGTGGCCAAGCACCCCCAGGGGCAAAAAGCACTGAGGATACCACCTGTCATTCCCAGTAAGTTGTTTCCTTTGTTCTGCAGCATAAGCTCGATAATTTGCAGATGTTTCTAGATACGTACAGGCTATTGATGTAGAATCAAGCTTCTGCCCCGAGAGGCTCATCAGAAACGCCTGCATCAGAGAATGAACTTTGCGTGCCACCCAGGCTTTTGGATTCTGTCATTAGCACTGGGTGGGGAATCAATTTTGTGAGGTGAAACAGGTGTGGCTAGAGGGTCAGCATTAGGGGCGGATCCAGGATTTCCCAAAGTGGGTGCGGAAGCAGCAATTTACACTGCAGGGGTGGCTGCGCCCCCTGTTCCCAGCCTCCTCCATTCCCAACAGTGGGGGAAGACCTTATAAGTCCCTAAAGCAGGTCAAAATCCCTGCTCCCTTCCCTGTCCTGCTCAGTCAGCCCCTACCCCTCCTCTGACTCCAAACCCACCCCCTCCCCGCAACTCCCCTGCCTTCTGCTGTTTTCTCTGCTGCTCAGGGGTAAGGAAGCTCCAGAGCCAGCTGGGCTCAGCTGTGGAGGGAACAGCAGCAGCAGCAGCATGGTGTCAGAGTAGTCTCCCCCCCATCCCCACCCTGCCCATAGCAAGCGAGGGGGAGGGGAACCCTCTGTCCATCCCATCCTGAGCTAAGCCCAACCCTTGTGCAGTGGGCAGGGATGGCTCTGGTGCTTTCCTGCCCCTAGGATAGTGGAGAAAGTTAAGCAGGGACAGGGGGAAGGGTAGAGAGGGGGCAAGAAGGGGAAGGAAGGCAGGATTTTCATTGGCTTTAGGGATTTTAGAAAATCATCAGAGGTTCCTGTGGTGCAATGCAATCCAAAAGGGCAGTGCAGCCACTGTACCCCCTCTGGATCTGTCCCTGGTCAACTGGATTAGAGCAAATGGTACTTGGAAGCAGGACATCTGCATTCCATGCTCAGCTTGGGAAGGAAGTGGGGTGGTGGTGCAGAAGGAAGAAGAGAGGATACAATGAGTTAGGACTCCTATGTTCTCCTTTCAGTTCTGGTGGTTCATACTCACCGCCCAAGTGGACATGTTCTTTATTCTTTCACGCATGTCTGTTCTATTAGAGATCCTTTTCTCAGATGTCATAGGGATGGAGTTTGTGATTCCAGCTGAAGCATATGTGATAAGATGTCTTTCCAGTCTGACTGCTCTCCTCTATTAAAATGCAGTTTGGGTTGTAAGTTACTTAGCAAGATGGCAGCAAGCCCCATCAGTCGCAATGGAAAATATGCACATCTCTCTGTCTCCAGCCAACAGCACCAGAGGTGCATATTTGTACTACATTGTGCCTGTCATGTTCACATGCTGACCCCTTTGCTTTTGTCTCATATGTGACTCCCAGGGCCTGTGCTTATGACTCTTCACTCTCCCATCCTTGAAGACTTTGAAGGCCCATACAGAAATGCAAGCATCATGTGCCAAGTTAAGAATCTTCTTAGCCAGGAGGTTCATATTCAGTGGATGAAGAATGGGGTCCTCCAAAATTCTGGAATCACCACCATGAGCTCCACTTACGATGACGAGTGGTACCTCTTAACCAGTGAGCTGAGTGTCACCGAGGGAGAATGGAATGCAGATAACAATTATACCTGTCTGGTGGACAGCCCCGAATTCAGTGAAATGAAAAACATAAGCAAGTCCATCACGTGTGGCTGTAAGTCAAGACCCTCAAGTGGTCCATCCTCCCACTCTGAAATGGACATGATACATCCTCCAGCCCCATTTATTCTCCATAAAACCCCAGGACCTGATGTCAGTGCCCTAAAGCATTTGCGCAGTTCCTTGGTTTTATGGAGAAAAGGCATTCTACAAACAATTCCTTTAATGTTTCTTAAGACGTTCTTGGGTAACTTTCATTAGGGAAAGGTAAGATCAGCATGGAAAGCTACATCAGGTATAATACAGGGATCCTTCCTCTAACATTGAGATGAAGCCACCTCTAGAATGAAGCAAGGCAACTGTTTTATAACCCAGTTGCAAGATATCTCGGTGCAAGACGTGTGGAATAACATATCCACATACAAACATGCCCCTTTACAGAAAATGAATAATAGCCTCTAAGGCCCTAACTGGGCATGGTGCTATGTACCCAAAGGACCACCACCTCACTTATGCCCCATCATGATCCTTCATGTAAGCCAAGAGCAACTACCTGCAAGTATCATCAGGGCACCAAGTCTGCTTGGCAAAATGTGTAGGAGGCTTTTCTCCACAGTTGTTCCTTAGCTTAGGATCTCCTTCTTTCTTAAGGCACATCAGAGCCTGAACCATGGACATCTTCTGGAAGTGGTGTAAGACCTTCTTATTTAGTCAGGCATTTAGCAAAAAAACTAGCCTGGGATATTGTATGAGAATTTCCATTTCATGCTGATCCTATACTTGATTTTTAATCCTGTTCGGTCTCCTGTTTTATAAGTTATTTTCTTCTCTTATTGTAAACTGCTCTGAGCTTTGGTTGGGAAGCATGGCATATAAATTGAATAACTTAAAACATCAGACTATAAGGATTGTTTAAAAAAAATCTTTAAGAATTTTCCAGGGAAAATGAGGGAGGAGTCTTACCTTTTTCTCTCTGCCTCTCAGCTGATTGTATTAATCCCAATATTGAGGTTGATGTGATCCCACCTACCTTCGCTGAAACTTACCTCACCAAGTCAGCCAAGCTGACCTGCCAGGTTATCAATATGCCTTCTGCAGAAGGGCTCAATGTGGTGTGGCTGAGAGAGAATGGCCAAGCATTGGAAACAACCCTTCAGCCACCTGTCCTGCAAAGCAACGGCCGGTACAGTGTGGATGCCACAGCCAGCGTGTGTGTGGATGAGTGGAACAAGGGAAAAAATTACACCTGCAAAGTGACCCACCCAGGACTCGAGCTGCCCATTGAAAAGACGCTTCGCGAAAGCCCTGGTAGGTCACAGTCCCTTATGTGTTGTCTTAATTTTACTCAATGGACAGCTTATTTCTGAGGTTAGCAGCTGTCAGGGGGTGTCTGCTTAATGATCCCTTTTGCAGTCCATATTTCTTTAGGTCACTGAATTGAAAGTTTGAGAATGAGCAGAAAACAAGAAAGCAGAGCAAGAAACAGCAGCAAATTCCTGATAAACCATTCAGAACATTGCCAAATCTGCCAGTCTCCTGCATCCATGAATATGTGGAACAACAAATATGGCAGCTGATTTGTTTGATGGCTTTGACTTCAAACAGGGACAGCTGAGAAATGCCACTGCCCCATCTTACTTCACAGAAGGACCTACCAAATTACTTCCCTGTGGAAAACAGGCCAGATGTTTTGGGAAGGTTTAGAATATCTACTCTGTCTTTTAACAGTTATAGGCTATAGTTTTCAAGGCTTCTCCATTTCCATCAAAATTAATGAGAATTTGGAGCTGAAGTCCCTTAAGTGACTTGGAAAATATTCCACCTACTGCTTAGTAAACCCATGCTACCGTTACTGGTAGCATACAGCACAACATTGCTACTACAGAGGAAACTAGTCATCTATGCCACCCTGAAGGTCAGAATAGATTATTCTAATAGTCTCCCTCTGGCTCTAAACTCTGTTTATCCTCGTAGCTGGTAAAGAAAGGGAGTACCTGAGGAGAGATGGTCTCTTCCATCCAGTATGAGTAATTGTGGTAGCTATAAAAATGTGCTTGTCCTCTTGAGTGAGATTCTCATTTATCCTCATCAGAATTCAATAGCTATGTATGAACATGAACAGATCCCAGCTGGAACCAGCAGAACTAGAATTTCCTTGCACCGGTGAGATTGCTTATTCACTGTCCTCCCCATCATGTCTTCCCTTTGCAGTTACCAACAGCCATGCTCCATCCATCTATGTCTTCTCTCCTCCCCCTGAGCAACTGGCCCTTCATGAAGCCGCCACAGTCACTTGCCTGGCGAAGGGCTTCAACCCACCTGAATTCTTCATCCAGTGGCTACAGAATGGTGAGCCAATGAAGGCCTCCAGTTACATCACTGGCAGTCCCACTCTCGAGTCCCAGAAGCCAGAGCTGTACTTCGCCTACAGCACCCTGACCATCAGCGAGCAGGAGTGGAATGCCGGCAACACCTACTCGTGCCTTGTTGGACATGAAAAGCTGCCTCTGCAGGTGGCTCAAAAGACCATCGACAAGTCCACGGGTAAACCAACCCTGGTCAATGTGTCTCTTGTTCTGTCTGATACTGCCAACACCTGCTACTAACCACCATGCCTTCCCTCAACCACCTAATCCTCACTGTGACTATTCCTTCTCCTACCACTGTAGTGAAGAGGAGTGGTCACACCCCTCTAACAGCTTTGTGAAATAACATGTTTTCTAGCCGCATCTTTTTTAAAAAGTTAGAAATAAAGTCAATTTTGGAACAAACTAACAAAAATATTCAGCTCTTTCTTTTCCCAAAAAAATTGTGAGAAAAAATCATGTAGTGCATCCTTAGATGTAGGGAAGAGGCTCTTGGTGATGTTCAGTCTCCATATTCCCTGGTCCTTGCCTACCCACGTGTTGATACTGCAGTCATGGTTTTCATGTTCCATCCATTTCTTCCTCATACTGTAGAATCCTTATTGCCTCTCTGCTTTTTGTCTTCTCCCATGACCCAAATGTATCTGGGTATATCCCTCAAATCCTCCATTCCCACCGATTATCTTGTACTCTGGGCTACATTTCCATTCAACATATGCTGGGACCTGCACAGTTCCTTTGTTACTGTATCTTCAGCTCTGCTCCAATATGGACATTGCTTCCTGGGTAAGCAGTCATTAGAAACCCCTCTGATTATCAAAAACTAGAAGGGTGCCTCTGTAGAGCTCCACCCCAGGTTTTCATCTGCCCTGGAGGCCTCTTGATCTGGGGGTGCATTTGTGGGGCACTTTCTGCTTACTCAAAGGTAAGTTTGCCCTGAAAGAGATGGAACAGCCAAGAAGGAGGACTTTTAATTGTCTTATAATCAACTTGACGGTTGACAGGAATTATTCAAATCTCACATCAGGTTTGGTGGCTTCCACCTCCCTCACAGTAAACCCACAGGGTCATCCTTGGGGCATACTGATTCTTTTGTCTCCTGATTTCTCTTTGATGTCAAGAAAATAAAAGATGATGGCCCTAAGAACCATAACCTCAATGGCATCACAACATCTGTCCACGCTCACCAAGCCATCCTGGAGGCATTTGGCAGGCACATGTGAGCCTGCTCCTTATTAGTCACAAATACTAAATGCATAGCAGTGTTCTTACATGTGGAGTGTATGTCTATCTGCTTCTATTTCTTTCACAATTTCTCTTCAAATGTCCTTGTAGACACTTTGAGGTCATAAACTATATGAAGCCTTTATTCTTAAAGTAGGCATCCACATACCCAACAACCATTTTATCTCCCTTTAAAACATACTAACTCCTCATGTGAGCTCTCCAAGGAGATCCACCAGCCCTAGAGGGAGAGGTAGAGTATTACCCATCTGCTACAACGAGAATATTGGCAATGGTAGAAAAACCACTCTTGAAACTTGAAACAATCAACCATCAAAGTGTTAACAAAAACCCTAGTATGTAGTGACCTCCCTCATCCCTTATGGGCCAGGCTCCTGAAAGTCACACTCAGGAAAATCTTTGCTGAAACAGCCTACGATAGTCCAATTTTTTAAAACCAGCTAATAAATATGAAGCTGATGTGATAGTCAGAGATGAGGCCTTTAGTCAATAGGGTGGTAGAACTGACCTTACCAATTTCAGAGGTGTCTGCTTGGTACAAGGGCATCGGAAAACGAAATACAATTCTAGGAGGTGCCAACTCTTATCCAGCCCTACAGGTGGTGGATTGGCTGCCTCAAAAGAGCAAAGAATGGGGTAAAAGATGTTCCGAGAGTCAGGTGAGGTTTCTAGTCCCGCTCCAGGTTAGCCATGACCTAAAATATTTCTTTTTGTATAATGGGTTCACCACAGAGATGGGTAGGTGAGTAGATAGAGATAAAAATTTATATTGAGATGGCTGGTTGGGTAGTTTCTTCAAAGGTGGATGTTCAGGTAGGTAAGTAACCGTGAGAGTGGACAGAGGATGCACTGCTATATGAGTGGGAAGCTAGTTATATAGACAGACACTGAGCTGGTTAGGGAAACACCATGGAAGGATGGGAAGGGCACCAAATTGAGAGGCCATATATTTATGAACAAACAAGTTCTCTCAAGGAAAAGGGGATTCTCGATGCAGGAGCCAAAAAGTTTATCCAAGCATCTTAAACTTCTCAAAACTGTTGTTGAATGGAAATTTGAGGTTTTTGCTTTTTAGAGAAGCATGAACTGTCTCTGTAGCATAATTTTGACTTTTTGATTCAAACCCTCAAATATTCTGAGTCCAACATGTTGCTGTGGTCCTTCATAAGGACTTTAACTGGGTTCCTCATCTGCCATTCTCCACAATGGGCTTTCAGCCACACGTCATCTCCTATGATGTCACACCCGTGAGAGACTGCCTTTCTTTCCCAAGAGGTACCATGGAATCCAACTGACCATGGAATCCAACTTTCAGAAGATTATGGAAGCATGAAATACTATTGCTATGACTCAGGCAGGGCATGCAGGGCAATATTTCAGAATTGAAATATTTTGTTTAAAAACTATCAAAGCAATTGCTATTTTCCAAAGGGAAAAAGAAATATATCAAAAAGTGTCCTTTTACATGCGCACACATAAAAACCCAAATCATCCTGAAGAATCATGACACTGACTCTAACACAAAGCTCTGATTGCTCCAGGTCCTGGATTCAACACAATCTTTGCTTAATCAGAAGTTAGACGCATATCTCCCAAAAGCTGTCGTTAAATCAAGGAATGCTGCCACATGCTAGTTAAAATTGTTATCAGTGTGAATCCTGTCCTTAGTACAAATCTTGTCTTTGGACTAAAATGTAAACCAAGCCCTGGACCTTGCTTAGCCAGTCAAGGTCCTATTTGTTCCTCCTCCAATTTCCACAGTGGGAAAGGGTAGAAATCTGAGATTTGCCAGTCAGCTGAACAATTTGAAAAGTTCCCTGACCTAAAAGACCACATTTTTTAGGGGTCTTTTCACTATTACTTTCTATATCTCTGGGTCTGTGACGTGGTCGATAGCCTCCATGTCTTGATCTCCCTGCTGTCACTCTTACCAATGTTGTTCTTTATCACCCATCTAATATGTTCATCCTGCAATATTCATAGAAACATAGATCATTAGGGGCTGGAAGGGACCTTGCAAGATCATCTGGTCCAGCCCCTACTGCACTAGGCAGGAAAGACAACTGGGGTCAGGTGACCCCAGTGAGGTGATGGTCCAGTCTCCTGTTGAAGATTTCCAGGGTCGGTGATTGCACCACCTCTAGGGGGAGTTTATTCCACAGTATGGATACTCTGACTGTGAAGAAGTTTTTCTTAGAGTTGAGCCTGAAGCAGTCTTCTAGGAGTTTATGGCCATTACTCCTGGTTTTCCCCAAGGGTGCCCTGGTGAACAGTTGTTCACCAAGCTCTTGATGTATTCCCCTGATGTAGCAGTAAGCTGCTTTCAAGTCCCCTCTCAGCCTTCTCTTTTTTAGGCTGAAGAGGTCCAAGTCCCTCATCTTCTCCTCATATGGCTTGTTTTGCAAGTATCTGATCATATGGGTGGCTCTTCTCTGGACTCTCTCAAGTTTTTCCACATCCTTGTTGAAGTGCGGCACCCAAAACTGGACACGGTACTCCAGCTGAGGTCTCACCAACGCTGAGTACAGTGGAAGAATCACTTCATACATCCCTGAAACAGAAGTGTTACTTAGGATAATGAGTAGGATGGTAGGGGGTAACCATCACATGGGTACACAACACTTGAAGTCCTTCTTAAATCATTAGAGTACAACAGAACGTGTGCCCCTTCCACAAATAAATTAAAGCCACCCTTTTCCAGTTCCAACTGCAAAACTCCCAGAGGTCTGTTCACAAGCTATGAGCAATCCATATGCTGAAAAATGTTCTGTGAGAAGAGAAAGACTTGACGTTCTACCTACCTGTTCAAAGTCACGCCTTGAATACAAGTTGGCCAATGTCCTTCCCACTTCTGTATTGCTCCCCATTTATTTTAATAATTATTTTAGGAGGAAAATTCTATAACAATCAAGGAGATTTATATGTCCAATTCCAATTGAACTTGCCAGAGTTTGGCATCACATTATTTACATTGTTTTCAAAATCCTAGTCTTATCTCTGCCTGCCCAGCTACCCACCTATCTACTGTCCATGAGTGCAGAAAAAATTTCTCTACCTCTTCAAACAGTATCAATTAAAGTCAGCTTCAGAAATATCTGGTTAAAATAAAAATATAGTGGGATTTTCAAAAGCACTTAAGGGAGCCTTACTCTTAGATCATGTACTTGATGTTGGAGTGATGGAGTTAGTTTATTGGATTAAACCACTGACTTTTGGTCTCAAATACAGACTTAATTCGCATCAAATCACACGGGAATTAACTGAGATGGGATCATGGTCCAGGTCTACTGATGTGATTAAGTTTCTCACAGCTCCACTACTTCCAGTGGACCTGCTCCCATTCATACCAGCCAAGGGTCTGGCCTGGTACCTTCCTGAGCGAGGGAAAACATTTCCATCCAACCTTGCAGAAAGTTTGTTCTTGGAGGAAATGGATATGACAAAAATTACTACAAATTCCCTCTGGATACGTTGGCTTTTCCTTTGACCCTGCCTCACTTACTAACTCTGTTGTATCTTTGGACATCCTATCACAGCCCTACCTGTTTAGCGGGAACCATCCGTCATGATGCTTCCAACCTCATGTCTCTTCCAAATGCCCATTCAGAAATAAATGAATTAATGGAAATTGGACAGTTAGATACAGGAAGTGGGTTTTGAAATTCTCATTCTAAAATGCACAACTCTCTTTGACTTGACTTCATCAGCTAATGATGACTCTATCTCTAGAAGGAAGTCTACCTAACATAATTCCAAGTCTCCTGATACTGTAAGGGCACCATGTCCATGTTAAGCCTTACAAATCAAAGTTTCCACCATCCATCCACTCACCAAACTACCTGATGAAAACTCCATCTCCCCCACCAACCTACCCTCCTACCTGCTCTAGACCCAAATGACCCATACCAATACTGAGAGCCCCTACTGGAGGCCTCCATAAATGAAATCCCCAGCTGGTCCTAACTCTGTGTTTGTGTCATCCAAAGCTAACCTAG